CGTGCTCCCAGAACCTCCCCGTGCTCCCAGGGCCTCCCCGTGCTCCCAGGGCCTCATCGTGCTCCCAGAGCCTCCCCATGCTCCCAGGGCCTCCCCGTGCTCCCAGGGCCTCCCCGTGCTCCCAGGGCCTCCCGTGCTCCCAGGGCCTCCCCGTGCTCCCAGGGCCTCCCCGTGCTCCCAGGGCCTCCTTGTGCTCCCCAGCCACCACTGCCGTCAGCGTGTCGTCTCACCACGTCCTCCTCTCCTCTCTGCTCTGCCCCGAGGCCCGTCCCAGGACCAGGCCCTCCCATCACACGTGCCAAGAACCAGCGGAGCTTTGCTGGTTGTGCTTGGGGTCACAAGGAGCTGGAACCAAGTCGAGGACGTACAACAACACCACCACCACCACCACCAACACCACCACCACCAACACCACTCTTCACAGGAGCAGAACAGCATATCTTTCTCCTGCAGTGCAGGGGTGGGTTCGAACAGCCACCGGGGCTTGCACTTGGCCTTAACCTTGAGACCGTACCAGAGTGTGTCCTCATGTGACGCTTCAGCTTGTAGGTGTCCCTGCTGGCGTAGTTGCACAGGCAGCACTTGAAGGGTCGCTCCCCGGTGTGCGAGCGGACGTGGCGCTTCAGCTTACTGGCCTGGAAGAGACAGGAGGGACTCTGACCGCAAGGAGACCCTTGACTCACAGCATCCGGGGCCAGTCAGTGCTGGCTACTCAGTCCAAGCAAGTCACACACCAACAGAGTTTATCAGGTCCCAGATAACGTCACACGCTGGAAAACGCGAAATGTCACTTCTTTTTCTGTCGAGGCTGGTTTTTTAATTTTTTTTTTTAGGCTGATATTTTAAATTCAGTGTTGTGTGAGTTTGAACTGTCAACCTTTTGGTGAGAAGTGGTGCTTGAACATGGCACCAGCACGGTTCCTTCAGACCTGTAGCTGCTGAACGGTCCTGACTCAGCGCCCTGTATGACTGGAACCGCCTCCCAGGGATCCTGAGGCCGTAATCTATACACAAGCCGACCGCCGCCTCTCCAACAGAACTGCTGGTGGGCTTAAACCAGGGGTCAAACTGGTTCTTCCCAGCTGTCACGGCCAAGGAAGTGAAAAGGGAACAGACGTGGATTTTCAAAATCTGGGTGGGCAGGCGAGCTCTGGTGGCAAGAAGCTGCACTGCAATCACAAAGGTGCGTGGTTCGAATCCACCAGATGCTCTGCTGGAGAAGGAGGGGTAATCTCCTCTTGTACCAGTCAGATCCAATTTGACCGTACACACACACACACACACACACACACAAATAAAAATAAAATAAAATTTAAAAATTGGGGAGCTCTGGTGGCCTGGTGGCAAGGAGCTGCAACTACAATCCCAGAGGCACACGGTTCGAATCCACCAGATGCTCTGCCGGGGAAGGAGGGGACAATCTCCTCCTGTACCAGTCAGATCTGATTTGACGGTACATGCACACAAAAATAATAAAATTTAAAAAAATAAAAAAAAATCTGGGTAGACAGAAACAATAAGAGGAATGGGATAAATGAGTATGAGTTAAAACTCTGCTAGAAACTCTATCTCTGTCTTAAAAAACAGGGCAGGATATGCACACAGCACAGCAACCCAATCTCGTTCACGAGATTTCGAGCAGAGCTGAAAACAAGGATGCCGGGCTCACAGACGGCTGCCATCCACGGGGCATGTGTGTCATTCTTTAGAGAGCTGCCAATGAAACAGCCCCCAAATTAGGCTCCTGAAAGTCTCTCATTCCACGGCCTCGACACATAGTTTTCCTTTCCTGTTAATGTTTCTGATCACCTGTTGTTGTTAAGTGCCGGAGACTCCTAGCGACCCTATGAACGAAAGTCCTCAAACACCTGTGTGACTTTCATCCTCTCTCCAGGTTCATAGGGTTTCCGGAGGCAAGCTATTTACGGAAGTGGATGCCACTCCTGCTGCCAAGCTTGTTTTAACCGGGAAGCTCCACCAAACACTGTCCACCATGGGTAACTATTAACACATTTGACACATCAGTGTCACAGTGTTCAGCTTCACAGCAACCACTAGTTACCTCTGTAGGGCAAGTGGACACACCAGGGCCTAAGTTTTAAAAATTCAGCTCTGTTTCAGTTTTACTTCGCCCAGTGTAACTGAAATCTGTTTGAAGTGGTTTGAAGCCCTGGTTCAATCTGCCAACCTTGCAGCCAGCAGCTGGTGCTGACCACTGTACCCCAGGACTCCTCAGTGGAGGTGCCCCCACCGTGCACCATCTGTGGGAGATCTCTGGGGGATTTCACCAGGTGCCATTAGGTCAACTCTGACTCCCGGTACCCCTGGTCGCCCTACTAGGACTGCTCCCTGAGTTCTTCCATGGTGGCGGATCTGTACGCAAATGGCCAGCCTCACAGACCAGGTGGGCATCAGCCCAGAGGCCACCCCAGACTCAGGATGGCAGGCTGGATTTGCGTTTTCATAGATAGCTTCCTTTTGCGGTCTTCTAAGACAGCTGCAACCTTTAACTCAGATGAGAAATAATTTTTTAAAAATAGCAAGAGTAGAGGAAAAAAATGATTCTTGGCTGAAGATCCTGACCCCGTCTGTGAAATTCACCAGTTTGTGAAACTTGGTTGCAGCATATCTGTATTTAAACTTCTGCTGTCCCTTCAACCTCAGTCCACTTGGGGGGTGCACATCCCTGTCCTACTGGGCTCAAAACCAGGGACTGCAGCTTCCTAAGAAGCAGTGATGTTTTTAAGAATGAACTGGTAAAAACAGACACTGAGAAGCCATTTGCAGGATTCTGCCATGTCTTTGAGAGCCCTCGAGGCCTCCAAGTCACAGTGACCCTATACCCATGTGGCAGAGACGACATACCTACCATATTTCCTTAGTGGCAAGTGTAACAGGAAGGGGCCCTGGTGGTGCAGTGGTTAGAGAGCCTGACTACAGCCCCAAAGGTCGATGGTTTGAATCTATAAGTCACTCTGTTGTGTGGGTGAAGCATGAGGCAGTGTGCTTTAGCAGAGATTCCCTCTCTCTCATTGCTGTTGAGTTGGGACCAACCCATAGCTAACCCCCCCAGCAGGTTTTCAGAGGTCGTAAATGGCACAGGAAGCAGGAGTGGCAGCCACTTCCTAAACAACTTGCCTCTGGAAACGCCATGAACTTTGATAAACGTCGCTAGTTGCAGAAGGGCTTCAGGCCTTTTGTTCACAGGGTCGCTATGAGTCGTGTTTGACTCAAAGGCCATCAGAAACATCAACAAATGGCATGGGAGGAGATTGCCCATCTTTCTCCTGCAGAACTGCTACTGGATTCAAACTGCCTGCCTTTGGGTTGGCAGTACAATTCCTTACTCATTGGGCAGCCCAACTTTTGTTGTTGTTCGATGTTGTTGAGTCAAGTACAGCCCATCATGATCCCATAACCAACAGCTCTGAACCTTGTCCTACCCTGAGCTGTCCTCACAATCTCTGACACACTCAAGCCCATTGCTGCAGTCACTGTGTCAATCTCTCTTGTTGAGGGTCTTCTCAAAGTACGTGAGACTACACTTCGCCATCTCTGCCTCCAAGAAGCACTTTAGCTGCACTTTTCCAAGATCCATCTCTTTGTTCTTTTGGCCGTCCATGGGATGTTCACTACTCTTCTCCAATATCACAGTTCAGAGGCATCCGTTCTTCTTCCGTCATTCTGATTCACTGCCTAGGTCTCATATGTACAGCAAATGACTGAAAAGAATAAGTCCTGAATCAGGCGCACCTTAGTTTTCAAACTGACATCACTGCTTCAGTCATTTGAAGAGGTCCCGGCAGCAGGCTTGCTGAATGCGACAGATACATCTCCTGACTGCGGGTCCAACGGTGTTGACCTTGGGTTCAAGTAAGAGGAAATCGTTGACAATTTCAATCTTTTCTCCACCTACCATGATGTTGCTGATCTCCCTGGTGGCAGGGACTTTTATCTTTTTGATGGTGAGCTGTGAGCCACACTACAGCCTTGGGAACAGCATGCCGGTTGTGCTTTGTCTCACAGGGTCTTGTGAATGGAAATCGACGGCTCTGGGCTTTTATCATCATGGGAACAGATCATTAGATCTTTTCTTCCAAAGAGTGGTTGGTGGGTTTGAACTTCTGACCTTTTGGCTAAGTTGAGCACTCAGTCACTGTGCAACCCTGGCTCCTTGCTAAAGTGTATTTTAAAAGCTATTATTATTATTATTAATTTTAACGGAAGTTTAGAGACTTTGGATTTCCATTCATTCATTGTTGCACTTTTCTTCCTACCCAACCTCCCCTCTGAGTTCACTCTTCTCTTTGAAAAGTAAAAGAAAAATTCTTTCATTGTCTTACAATCCCTCCCCCAGGTCCACTCCACTATGCAGCCTTTGTTCTGGACTCCTGTCATGACAATAATACCTAATCACATATCCCTTTTAAACAGTTTTCTCCCTCATCTGTTTCAATGCAGTATACATTATGTATCCCCTCTTTCTCACTCTCCCCTCAACCTGGTTGTTAGTACTGTTTCATAACAGTGGCACTATGCAATATTTGTCCTTTTGTGACTGAGATACCTCACTCAGCATAATGTGCTCCAGGGTCACCCATTTTGTATGCTATTTCATGAGTTCCTTGTTTTTCAATGCAGCATAGTATTCCATTGTGTGAATGTTCACTTCTCTTCTCCAATATCACATTTCAGAGGCATCAGTTCTTCTTCCGTCATTCTTATTCACTGCCCAGGTCTCATATGTACAGCAAATGACTATCCATTCATTTATTGATGTGCACTTAGATTGATTGTTTCCAACTCCTTGCTATTGTGAACAAAGCCACAATAAACATGGGTGTGCATATATCTTCTTGGGTGACGGTTATGGTTTCTTTAGGGTATATTCCCATTAGAGGAATTGCTGGGTCAAATGGTATCTCTACTTGCAACTTTTTGAGAAAGTGCCATACTGCCTTTCACAGTGGTTGCACCATTTTACACTTTCACCAACAGTGAATAAGGGTTCCAGTTTTTCCAGAACCTCGCCAGCATTTGTTGCTTGCTGTTTGTTAAATTCTGCTATTCTTACTGGGATGAGATGACTTCTCAGAGTTGTTTTGCTAGGTGTATTAAAAACCATCCCAAGTCCACTGATCTCAGTTCCAACTCATGGAACCCTCCCCCGGGTTTCTAAGGCAATAATTCTTCATGGAGACCGTTGATCTGTCTTCCAAGGAGCCACTGGTAGATTCTCCGTGCTGACCTTTCAGTTAGCCGTCTAACACCCAATGCACCACATCACCAGAGCTGCCGGTGGGGCGGAGGCCCCTTGTGCAGTATAAGGGAGTTCTGGTGGTGCGGTTGGTAGGTACAAAAGTAACAGTGGTAACACGGGGAAGGCCGAGTCTGACTTCTACCTGCTTCTTCAAGGAGAACTGTCCCCAACAATAACATCCACAGCAACAACATAGCTCCAAGGTCAAACATGCCACCGCTCATGCTCCTGCACCTGTTACTACCAATCAAGTCCAATGTTTGTTGCAAGACTCACAGATGTCACTCAGAGTTGTGGGATTTCCTAATAGTTTGGAGAGTGGGAGAGGCACATAATGCAAGTGCAGGTGTAGCCCAAGCCAGATTAACAAGGCACAGTTCCTCAATGAGTGACTTCAGATCAGCAGCACAAATGCAAGAAGTCTCTGATTTCCTGAACTGTCTGGCAAACTTTATTTGAGACCAGTTGCAAGTCAGCTTTTTGTTCAATCATCTGGCAAGCAAAACCTTGAACTGTGAGTGGCTCCATCTCCAAGGTTCCTCTGGTTACACCTTGTCACAGTCTCTTCACCCTCTCTCCACCACCGTCACCACCTCTCACAGTGTGGAAAGCACTGTCTTATATTGGTCCCACAGCTGTTGATTATTTACAAGATCATGTATCTGTAGTGAAGGTGGCTGGAGATCACGTCCCCCACAACAGAGGCTAACACAAAGGCTAGAAAAGCCAATTTTCAAGAGTTCTGACACTCCAGTAGGGAATTGTGCTGTGAACCCAAAGGTTGGTTCTCTCTGTTGGTCCAAACCCACCAGCAGCTCTGAGGGAGAAAGCTAGACAATTTCTGTGCAAATCGCGGCCTCAGGAAACAACAGAGCCTCAGCTATGAGTCAGTTCTGACTTGACCGCAATGCATTTATAGGACACGAACTCTCTTCTAAAAAATAAACAATCTAACGAAATGACATGACTTGCACGTGAAATTCAAAGAGTAGCTTCTTTGCACTTAAAAGTGGAGAAGAGCAATGCGTAAATGTCTAGGTAAGTGGCCTTGTGTCTGATCAAACGGAACTGGAGTGAGCGTGGGAGGGTGGACATTCAGCCATCACTCAGGCTGGACTGGCAAATCCAGCGTGACTCGGTGAGAGCAAGCACCATGCAAACACAAGGCACAACTCTGCTACGAACCTGGGGGCTTCTTGTACACACGTAACTTGTGCTCTAATTTGGCCAATAACTGGCAATCAAGGAAAAAGAGAAATCCAATTTCCTAATTCAGGTTTAGGGAAGAGACTGTGTACTATTATTTCCTGCACTGTTAGGTAGGAATAATGTCTCTGATGTGAGACCGGGTCCCAGGTGTGCACGTGTGCCAGGAGGCTCGCCGAGACGTGGCCGCCGAGAGTGGACGTGCGCTTACCTCCACGCTGGCGTACTTGCACAGGGAGCACTTGAAGGGCTTCTCGTGGGTGTGTTTGTAGCGCCGGTGCCGTATGAGCTCCCCACTGGTGACAAAGGCCATGTCGCAGTCCCCACATTTATACGGTCTGGTTCCTGCGGGAATGTGCATTACCTGCTTTTCATACAAGATTCCCCAAAGCCTCACGGCCCTGACAGAACCTTGTCAGTTCTGCTCAGTGTGACCTCCGTTAGGTTTCTGAGGCTCTAAACTGAAACAGGAGGAGACTGCCCGTCTTTTTTCCCTGGAACCACTGGTGTACCTGAATGGCCGACATCTCCGAGGAGTTCACAACGTGTAAACTACACCGAGTGTCTCGTACCCTCTGACATCGAGTCAGTTCTGACTCTCAGCGCCCTCACAGCGCCGAGGACTGTTCCACAGGGTGTCCAAGGTCGGAAAGCTCTGTGCAGGCAGGCTGACACGTCCGACTCCCTCTGAGCAGCTGGTGGGTTTGAACTGCTGACCTTTTAGTTAGCAGTCAGGTACTTCATCGCTGCACCACCTCACAAGGTTTCTAAACCAACAGGAAGCTCTTTAAACTACCAACACAGCCACAGTGTGCGGCCTCTGATTCCTGACGACCTGCCTGAGCCGGATCTGCACTGCTCTCCAGAGAGTCTCCAAAGGCTGGCTTTTCAGATGAGGGTCACCAGGCCTTTCTTCTGAGGTGCCTCTGGGGAGACACTACCTGCCAAGTGAGCAGTTCTGTTTGGCAACTGTTGACACCACCCTGGGATTCCAAACCGTACATCCCGTAAGTAGATGGCAAATTTCGGTCTCCCCTCCTCACTGCCATCAAGTCAGAATCGACTTAGAGCTGACCCTCACCTGGGGCCCCGAGGCTGCAAAGGGGAGGGGGAGGGGAGGGCTGGCTGGCTGTCCCCACAGAACGTCGCATGGCTCATAACAAGGCACGGTCTTTGGGTTAACAGGGCAACTCATTAGAGACCACGCCATAGAATATTTGCAATAGTCAATACTTTTGGGCAAAATTTCAGAAAAAGACCAAATCGAAGTTTGAAATGACTATCTCTGTAGTCCAGAAGTGTCCCAGAGCGCTGCTTGTTCTGACTCATGGTGGGTCTGCATTGGGTTTCTTGGCTGTAAACCGTAACCTCTGAGCCGCCGCCCCTCACCGCACCCCCCAGCAGGCTGCACCCCCCCAAACCCAGGTGCACGTGGCCCGGAGCCTCACCGGTGTGGGTGTTGACGTGGTTTCGCAGCAGCGTCACCGTGCGGAAAGCTTTCAGACACAGGTGACACAGGTGGGGCTTCTCGGTGGTGTGAGCTCTCACGTGGCGGCTAAAACTCGATTTTCTTGAAGAGGTGAACATGCAGGTGTCACAGCGGAAGGTTCTCTGTGATCCTATAAAGAGAAAGTAGAGAGTGTATGTGTGGGGAAATGCGCCTTTGAAAGAGGAGGTTCAACCCCATAGAAGCCCGTGGAGGTCCCTGAGTGCAGCCCTCTAGACGGACAGACTGCTTCAACAACAGAGTGAAGACCGAAGGCTCAGAGCTGTCCAGCAGGCTCCGGCCGCTGGAGGACACAGCAGGACGGGGGTCCGGAGGCTTTTCAGGGGCACTCGGTGCCACAGTCTGTGGGGAGCTGTGCTGGCCCTGGGGCTGCAGCTCTCTGCAGGTTCAGATCCATCAGAGGCTCCCCAGGAGAAAGACGGGCCATCACCTCCATAATTTACAGCTTCGGAGAGCCAATGGAGGGCCAGCCGAGAGGGTTTCCGACTCGGCAGCAGTGAGTGTGAGATGTGTGCCACGGCTGCCAGCCTTACGGAAGCAGACTGCTACCACCTTCTCCTGGGGATCAGCTAGGGGATTTGAACTGCCAACCTGGTAGAGAGCAGCCGAGCGCCTCACCACTGCACCACGTGGGCTCCATTTTTTCACGCGTGGTTATGTGCTACTGAGTCAACTGTGACACAGACAGACATGAACTTGGCCGTGTCCTGTGCCATCATCACCACCTCCGATGGACTTGAGCCCATTTTTACAGTCACTGCCATCTCATTGACGGTCTTCCTCTCCTATCCTGACCCTCCACCTTTCCAAGTATGATGTCCTTCTCCAAGTATGTATTGTTGTTATTGTTATGTGCCATCGAGTCGTTTGCGACTCATAGCGACCCTGTGTACAACAGCCCTAAACCCTGCTCTGTCCTGTGCCAATTTCACTGTCTCTGACACACCCATCCTGATTACCCCAGTCACTGAATCAATCCACCTCATAGAGGGTCTTCCCCTCCTGCGCTGTCCCTCCACTCTGCCCAGCATGATGTCCTTCTCCAAAGACCTGTCTCTCCTTACAACATGTTCAACGTATGTCAGGCGAAGCCCCAGAATCCTTGCCTCCAAGGAGCAGCCTGGTTTAACCCTCTCTAGGATGAATCTATTTGTTTTCTTGGCAGTCCATGGTACATTCAACACTCTTCTCCAGCACCACAGCTCAAAGGTGTCAATTCTCCTTCTATCCTCCCTAGTCATTGTCCAACTCTCTGATGCATAACAAGTGATTGCAAAAATCATGGCCTGTATCAGGTGCACCTTGGTCTCCAAAGAGACACCATTGCTCTTGAGTACTTTAGAGAGGTCCCTAACCGCAGACTTTCCCATCGCAATATGTATGTATACTTAAAAAAAACACCCCAAAAACCCAGCCACTCCCATCAGGTCAGTTCTGACTCCTGGTGACCCTTCATCAATTTTCCAGGGCTATAAGTCTTCATGGGAGCAGACCAAGACCATCATCTTTCTCCCACGGAACTGCTGGAGTCCAGCTGCTCCCATAAGGCCTGGCCTAGGAGGGTTTGACAAGTTGGTGCTGAACAGAAAAGGAGGCTGGTGCTTCCATGGAGCCCACACACCAGTTCACAGGTTCAGTTGCGATGTTCTGCTGAATTCAGTGAGGCAGGTGGAACATGGAGCTATCAAGGCCAAGGCCACGAATGTGACTTCCCACAGGCATTCTGGTCTCAGTGACTCCATTTAGAGGCTCGACTTGCACAGAAGCCACAGGGAATGAATAAGGGAAGGACACGTGCTTGATAAAGTAGGTGGTCAGTGAATCAGAGGAAGACCCACAACGAGATGGACGACACAGTGGTTGCAGTGCAGGCTCGAGCCCAGCAGAGTTCGTGAGATGGTGTGGGATGAGGCAGTGTTTTGTTCTGCTGACAGAGGAAACTATGAGTCAAGCTGACTTGAAGGCACAGAACAACAAACAAGAGATATACTTAACCAAACCCGAACAAGGCTCCTAATGGCCAATACACTGGCGGTAGCTGCAAAAGATGGAGGCTAGGCTCTGCTACCCAACACCAGCTGACCACTGCTGGGCGGGGGGAACTGATGCCCAGCATTTCCAGATAGATCTTTTTTAAAAGGACTGAGCAACTAGGGCTTAGGGTGAAATCTTAATTTAAATTAGTTAGAAGCGAATATATTTTTAAAAAAGCATTGAATAAATACTTCCTGAAGACTTTCTCCATGGAATACAGGAGAACAACCTTGGCATCAATTTTCCCCTGGGTCTAGGAGTTCATAGCACAGGAACCCTGGATTCCAAGGAAAAATTCTGCTCCTGGCTTTTCTTTCTTGATGGGAGTCAGCCCTCTTTTTCTGTTTGCTTTCCTGGCCTTTTATCTCTTGTAAGATAAAAGGTGTTTCAGGCCACACCCAGAGAAACTCCCTTCAAGGCTGTGAGCTGAGTAAGGGTGCCCCTGCTGAGAACCCCACTCTAATCCCCCCACACTTGACTGGCTGAGCACATCAGATCCCCTCAGAGGGATGACTCCATCACTGCATAACCGCACCACCACGGAGAACCGCGCCCCAAAAGGCTGAGGACTACTCTGCACACACAGTTCTACTGGGGACACAGCACAAGTCGCCTACCCTTCTTCTTTCTCCAGTTTTTCCTAGGATTGGCTTGTGCAGCAACAGCTACGCTGGAGGAAGGGGCGTCTTTCTGCTCTTCCACGTGCACATTGGAAATGGTGAGCACAATCTCGCCTGTCCCCTCCTCCCCGGGCCTGGCCTCCACCACAAGGAGTGACTCCTGCCCGGGCTCAGGGACCACCCCGTCCAACAGCAGCGTGGAGGCCTCTTGGTCCTTCTGCTGCAAGTGAACAGAAATATGGAGGTGAACCAGTGCACGGAGTGTCCACCACCCGTGTCCACCACCCGTGCCCACAACCTGTGTCCACAACTCGTGTCCACCACGCCCCAGGGCAACAGGGCGGAAAGCACAGGACCGGCAGAGGGGCATCCCTGCCTCCAGGACTCAGTCATTTAGCACCAGGTGTTGGGCATCACGTTTACTCGTTCACTTTAACCCCAGGCACCACGTTAAGGGTCTAACTCGTTATCACCCTTCAACCTCTAAAAGGGTGCAGACCAGACCCAGGGTCCAGGCCCCGGTCCCGCTCCCCGGGGCCCCCCTCCCGAGGCCTTTTACCGTGAGTTCTCCCTTGCAGTCCTGGCTGCCCTCGGGGACACTGCCGTCCAGCACCTGGAAGTGCACCACCTCCAGCTCCTGCAGCGAGTACACCTGGTCCTGGATGCTGATGGCCACACACTGGTGCACGCTCTGCGGGGGCCCTTCGGCCGGCGGGGTCCCCTCGGCCAGCAGGACCCCCTCATCCACAGGGACCCCCTCGTCCACAGGGACCCCCTCCTCCAGCGGGGGCCCATCGGCCGGCAGGGGCTGCAGCCACAGCAGCGAAGGCAGCCCGTCCCCCTGCGGCACGAGCACCTGCACCCCGTCCGGGGGCTGCTCGGGGAGCCAGCCCAGCTCCTGCACCTCCCCGTCCTCTGACGTGAGCTGCACGGTCTGCAGGGTCAGGACGTGCTCCTCGCCGTCCTCCCCGGGGGCGGGCACCGGCTGCAGCTCGCCCTCGGGCTCGGGGGGCTGCGTGGGGGGCGACGGGGCTTCCTGCGCTCTGCAGGCCCCGGGCCCCTCCGCGTCCTCCTCCGGGGCCCTCCCGGGAACCGGCTCCGGCTCCTTGATCTTGGTGAATTGCTCGGATGGGCCGGGGGTCTCCGTGGCCGCCATGATGGCGGGGCTGTCGGAGAAAGCATGGGTCTCGGGGTGCACAGCGGGGCGGGCGCTGGGGTCTCGCGGGGGCCAGGCCGGGGACCCGCTCGAGGGCCCGGGAGGGATCGGGCAAAGCCAGCGTTGGTGCAAATGGCTCTAGAACGGACGGCTTCCGGCCTGAGCAAGAGTTCTGGAAAATTCGCATCCCGGGGCTTGGGAGGCTGGAGCCCCGGCCTTCGGAGAACGCGACTGCTCGGCCGGGCCGGGCTCGGGGATGCGGCCGCTGCACGGGATCGGGCTGTGCAAAGGTCCCCGCGCAGACCCGGGTTCGAGCCCGCCTCACGCCCTGCAGAGCCCGGCCCCCACCCCCAGCGCCTGCCCACGCGCCCTCACCGCGGGAGGCGTGGCCTGGGCACGGCCCGCCCTGTCCTGGGTGGACTCCGCCCTGCCCTGGGTGGACTCCGCCCTGTCCTGGGTGGACTCCGCCCTGTCCTGGTGGACCCCGCCCCGTCCTGCGTGGACTCCGCCTTGCGCCTCGGCTTGGGCATCCGCTGCCTGCAGAGCCTGCTTGAGGGCTCTCTGAGCGCAGTGCGCAGGCGCAGGACGGGGTGGGGCTGGGGGTGCCGCGGTGGAGGGGGCGGGGCCAGGGCCGGCGTCGTGCGGGACCGGAGGGCGCGTCCAATGGGCAGGAGGGGACCGACTGGATGGGAGCGGAGAGGGGGCCTGGAGGGGGCGCCCGATGGACGGGGGGAATCGACTAGGTAGAGGAGCAGGGAGGGGGCCTGGAGGGGGCTCACGATGGACGGGGCGGGGGGCGGATCGAGTAGAGGAGCATGGACGGGCTTGGAGGGGTCCCGATGGACGGGGCGGGAATTGACCAGGTGGAGGAGAGTGGAGGGGGCCTGACGGCGCGCCCAGGAGACTTGGGACGATGGAGAGAGAAGGGGAGGCCCTGCGGACAATGGAAATGGTGGGAGCTGGCTAGACAGAGGAGCTGGGACCTGAAGGGGGGTCTCGATGGACGGACGGGAACCGACTAGGTGGAGGGCAGGGAGTCCACTAGATAGAAATGTGGAGGGGGCCAGAATGGGACATCCTGGGGACTAGTGAGGAGAGAAGGGGCGCCCGATGGATGGGTGGGAGCACACTAGATAGAGGGGCGTGGAGGGGGCACCGGATGGACAGTGGGGCGTGGAGGGGGCGTCCGATGGATGGAGGGGCGTGGAGGGGGCGTCCGATGGCCGGAGGGGTGTGGAGGAGGCGCCCGATGGGCAGAGGGGCGTGGAGGGGGAGTCCGATGGCCGGAGGGGCGTGGAGGGGGCGCCCGATGGCCGAAGGGGTGTGGAGGGGGCACCCGAGGGACAGTGGAGTGAGAAGGGGGCGCCCGATGTCTGGAGGGGCGTGGAGGGGGCGCCCGATGACCGAAGGGGTGTGGAGGGGGCGTCCGATGTCTGGAGGGGCGTGGAGGGGGCGCCCTGGAGACCGGTGGAGATGGACGAGATGGAGACATGGAAGGAGGACCTGAGGGTTCCTAAGCCGGGCTGGGGGCTGACGAGATGGAGACTGCAGGTAAGAACGTGTTGGGGGGCAGCTGGGGGGGATGGGTGAGGGCAGGTGCGGGACGGAAATGGAGGGGACACTGGACACCCGGGGAGTGTGGGAGGAGGAAGAGGGGAAGGGGGGCTGAGAGGGAGGCTGTTGGGGTGCACCTGGGGCGTCCTGGCGGGTGGAGAGGCCCGGGAGGCTGAGAACCCTGAGGGCTGGGGAGGCTGCGGGGTGGCAGGAGGCGGGCCT